CAACTCCGCTAGCGCCGCCAGCTCCAGAGTCCCCAGCTCCAGCAGCTCCAGTCGTAGTGCGCCCAGAACAACCAGTCCCGGCAGCTCCAGTACCCCCAGCTCCAACCGAGCCACTAGGACGGCGAAAGCGCCGGACGTACCAGTCACGAAGCTGCTGTGGTGTGAGAGACTGCTCAGCACCCCGAACCGGAGCACCCCCAGACGCAGCAACCCGAGGCTCCGTAGGCTCAGTAGCAGTACCCCCAGGCTCAGTACCCGCAGGCGCAGCACCCCCAGACTCAGCACCCCCAGACTCCGCACACGCCGGCTCAGGACCCCCAGTCGCAGCACCCCCAGGCTCAGCACCCCCAGGCGCCGAACTCTCAGGCACAGTACCCTCAGCTCCAGCACCCGTAGTCCCAGCACCCCCAGGCCCAGCACCCGCAGGCTCAGCACTCCCAGCAGCACCACCTGCAGCAGCACCTGAGTCACCTGTGACCTCGACAGGCTCAGCGACGGGAGGAGGGTCTACCTGAGAGACACCTGAAGGAGCAGGACCCTGAGGGGGAAGGGGGTCTACCGGAGGGGGACCAGGAGCAAGGAAAAGCGGCGGGGGAGGGAGGGGGGCAGTACGGTAGGGGAAGAGACGGTAAAAAGGGACCGACTCGTCAAAGGTGACGTCCTGAGAGGCGAAGACCCGGCGCGAGGTGGGGTGGTAAAACTGCCAGCCCGGCGCGTCAGGGACAAAGCCAAGGAAGACACAGGGAAGCGTGCGGGAGGAGAGCTTGTCCGCGGACGTATCGCGGACAAGGGCACGAGCACCCCACACCCGGAAGCGCGACGCATCGCCAACCTCCCCCGTCCAACGCAGTGTGGGCGAGGTCTCCGGCAAGGAGACACGGGGCCAGAGGTTGAGCTGATGCGCGGCGTACCGGACAGCAAACGGCCACAGAAAATGGGGAGCCGCCGCGTGGACCAAGGAGGTATGAGCGACCTCCATGACCAGGCCAATGCGGCGCTCAGCAACCCCATTCTGCTGTGGGGAGTCCGGAAGCGTGAAGGTCTGCTCGATGCCCTCCGCCTGACAGAAGGTCCTCAAGAGGTCGGAGGAAAACTCACCACCTCTGTCAGAGTGCAGACGCAGGACAGGAAGATCCGTCCGGAAACGGCGGCGGAGCTGGAGACGAACTGTGCGGATCCAAGGGATCAGAACAGCAGGGACCTCACCCTTGGTGCGCAAGGGGAAGACCGTGGTGTAACGCGAGTAGTCGTCGACAACCAGCAAAAAGTACCGCTCACCGCCCTGACCACGAACGCGGGCTGGGCCCCACACGTCCAGGTGGAGGGTCTGCAGAGGAGCCTCTGTCAGGGGGAACGAGGAGGAGTGAGGAGCGGCGCGCTGCCGTCCCTCGACGCAAGGAAGGCAAGGCGGCGCAGGCGAGGCAGGGAGGGGAGGGAGGGACCTGGGAAGACCAGACACAAGGTGGCGACGGTGCATGCCACGGAGGCGTGGCAAGGAGGGGTGACCCAGGCGGTGGTGCCAGAGAAGAGTCTGGTGCGACAGGGAACGACACTCACAGGCGTGGGCTACCAGACCTGACGCGGACACCTGACCGACAGCAGCGACCTGAGGAGACGCAGTGGTCAGTGTGTAGAGACTCGACCCCGGCCGACGAGTAAACGTAGCCAGGTGACGGCCGGTCCTGGAGCACGTGCAGATCGCCACACGCTGTCCTCCAGGGGTAAAGGTGTCAACCCACTGATCCTGGATGACAGCGTTGCTCACCAGGTTCGTCGAGAACGAGGGGAGGTGGAAACCCGTCAACGAGCCAGACGGAACCGCCGGACAAGGGAGCACAGTGGTGGACCGGGCAAGGACCGGGCCCCCAGAGGGGTCAGCCAAGGAGACTGGGACCGGTGCAGGAAGCGGTGTGAGCTCAGTACTGTCTCGAAAGAAGCAGCGGGAAGCACCTGAGTCAAGGGTGAAGGTGTGACAGGGCTCAGCCGGTGCAGTACCTGAGAGAGCAGTCTCTGTGGGTGCTGTACCTGAGAGAGCAGACTCGCAAGCAGCAGGGACAGTGCTGGAGGGAGCAGGTACAGGGGGCACCATACCAGAGAGAGCAGACTCACTAGTACCTAGGGCAGCGGGCCCTATACCTGGGTCAGGCGGCACACACAAGTAACAGTCTCCCTCGGCACTAACAGTCAATGCATACATGGCAGCAATAATAGCATCATAGTCAAGAGCGAAGATATCAACCCCAGCCCTCATCAGCTCAGCCCAGCGAGGGCGCTCAACATCCTCGCCCATCTCCTCACGCCAAGCGTCGTCAAGGCGGAAGAAGCAGCGGTACTGAGTGTGGAACTTTCCACACGTCTGCCCCTTGCGATCACCTGTGCGAATGACATAGGAACAGCGGCCACTGCCCCCCGACGTCCCACGCTGAGCAAGCCACTCACGAAGCTGCTGGGTCGACTGGGGACGCTGCTGCTGCTGGGAGCTCTGGCCCGAGCCTGTGCCTCCACTCCGACCTCCACCGCCGCCACTACCTCCGCTCCGACCGCCACCACCGCCACCGCCACCGCCACCGCCACTACCGCCACCGCCGCCACTGCCGCCGCTGCCACCACCGCCACTGCTCCCGCCGCCGCCCCCGCCTCCGCCGCCGGCCCCACTCCCACCGGCACTCCCGCCACCGCTCCCTCCAGCACCGCCTCCCCCCCCACCTCCCCCACCCCCTCCCCCCCCAGCGCCACCCCCGCCACCCTTGCCCCCCTTGCCCTTGCCGGTGCGGCGCCTCCCACCAGGAGCAGAAGCAGCGCCAGCAGTCTCAGCACCAAGGAAGTCAACAGCAGCAGCAGTAGCATAGGAGGGAGCGAGGGGAGAGGGAGAGCATCCCTCAAAGATGGGGGTGCGAGGAGCGCCGCGAGCAGCACCTACAGCTACAATGCTCTTCTCGGCTGCTAGCAGCTTCTCCTCTAGGAGGGCGACAGTGAGCTCAGTGGGACAGCGAGCAAGGAAATAGTCGCGCACTGAGCTGAGGGTGTCAGGGAGACGGGTGACTATGAAGTGGAGTGCCCAGTACAGGGGAGGGGGGTTCTTAGCGCAGAACTCGGTGGGAAGGGCGGCACGCAGGCGAGCATCACTAGTGCGAAGGTGGGTGATAAGATCGGCGACTGTAGCAAAGGTGGACAGGTCAGGGAACAGGTAAGGCAGCATGAGACGGCTAAGCTCGGCTGTGGCAGGTGAGGAGTAGCGAGCAACGACAGCGTCGTATAGGGCTTTAGCGGTTTTGCAGTCGCCAAAGTGCTCTAGCTCAGGTAACGGCAGGTGACTGCGAATAGCCAGGCGAGCTGCAGCGTCACGAGTCTGCCACTGTGAACGTACACTAAGCTCGGCTGTGGCAGCAGGAGCAGCGGCAGCACCAGACGCGTAGTCATAGAGGGAGATGTGGTCCGTGCTATTGCTCATAAGATACAACTGCAGGTCGTCGAGCCAGGAAGTGAACTGCACGGGACGGCCCTCAGCATCGAAGGAAAGAACGCGAATAGAGGCCATAGCTCAGGCGTGAGGGCACAGCAGAGCAGCGGCAGCAGCAGAGGGGACGCGCTAGAGCGAAGCTAGCAGCCACAGCAGGAGCAAGCGGCGGTGCACAGGCAGGGAGCAGCAGGCGAGGCGGGCAGCGCTGCAGGCGGGAAGTGCGGCGGGCGGGCTGCGAGGCGGGCGGGCGACGCGGCGAGCGGGCAGCGCGGCGGGCGGCTGCGAAGCGGGCAGCGGGCGGGCGGGCGACGCTGCAAGCGGGCAGCGGGCGGGCGGGCGACGCTGCAAGCGGGCAGCGAGGCGGGCGGGCGACGCTGCAAGCGGGCAGCGGGCGGGCGGGCGACGCTGCGAGCGGGCAGCGAGCGAGCGGGCGACGCTGCGAAGCGGGCAGCGGGCGGGCGGGCGACGCTGCGAGCGGGCAGCAAGCGGGCGGGCGACGCTGCGAAGCAGGTAGCGGGCGGGCGGGCGGCGCTGCGAGCGGGCAGCGAAGCGGGCGGGCCGCGAAGCGGGCAGCGAGCGGGCGGGCGGGCTGCGAAGCGGGCAGCGGGGCGAGCGGGCTGCGAAGCGGGCAGCGGGGCGAGCGGGCGACGCTGCGAGCAGGCAGCGCGGCGGGCGAGGGGCGAGCGGGCAGCGTGGCGGACGGGCGACGCTGCGAGCGGGCGGCTCGGCGGGCGGGCGACGCTGCGAGGGGCGCGCGAGGGCGCTAGCGAGGGGCGCGCGAGGGCGCTAGCAAGGGGCGCGCGAGGGCGCTAATGAGGGGCGCGCGAGGGCGCTAACGAGGGGCGCGCGAGGGCGCTAACGAGGGGCGCGCGAGGGCGCTAACGAGGGCGCACGAGGGCGCTACGAGGCTAGGGCACGGGGTAGCGTGGTAACCGCATGCGAGCGGTGGTGGGCCCTTAAAAAAAAACGGTCGGTAGGTCCTAGGGACCTCCTGCTCTGAATACCATTTCAGAAGAACTAGGCAAGAATGAATGAACTAGCAGAAGTTTGGGTACAAATATGAAACCCTAGTTGGGGTTGTACCCCATATTGGCTACCCCACTACAGCCTACCAACATATAACACATTACAATTTAACAGGGACTTTGTTCAAATGGATAATACTGTGCGTAAAAGCTTTCCAACTCGATAAATTCCTCTTTTTCAGGCTCATTTTGGCGGGAATTTCATTTAGTTACCATTCGCGTGATGGGCTGCTAGTGTAGAGTTACCAAATGTGTTAAGCGAGTGACTAAACGTGTTAAGCAAGTTACCAAACGCGTTAAGCGAGTTACCAAACGCGTTGAAATCGTTACCGTACGCGTTACAGTGCCCCATGTTTGTTACCATTGACATATTTTCCCTTGTAATCACTTCCGCGTTATCGAATTCTCCGCACTCTTTCACAACTCTGTAGGTACGAAAGATGTGGGTCACCACGCGAGGGTGACCCCGAGGTGTGCCTCATTCCGAAAGTAATTTCGGCGAGCTGAACTTTGGGATGCGTCAATTTGTCAGGACGTATTCTGTCGCCCGTAAGGTTCTCATTGTACGCTTCGGGTGTGCTGCCATCGTCCGCCCATCATGCCGCCAGCCTCCTCCAGTGCCCCGCACACATTAGCGCAACCCCCTGCGCCACTCCCCCAATTGTCCCACGGGGCCGTCCGCCCGTGCTTCCGCATAGAAACGTGCCCCCTGCCAAGCGCACTCCGCGCAAATGCTTACTTTCGGCCGCGAAACGCGGGTTCAGAAGTGGTCCGCTGGGGCGCGGACAACCCTTGGCGGACGAGTTTGAGGCGGGAGAGAAGGCAATGGCGGAAGCTCCGCGCTCAAGCCGACGACTCCACTGGAAGGGCGCAGGCAGATGATCGAGCTTCGGTAGCAGGGGAAGGCGCGGAAGCGACGGCGCAGGTGGCGGAGATTTATCGCGCGGACGAGCCTGCGGAGGCGAACAGCGCGATGTCGACTCTCGTGACGCTCTTCCCCCTGTGGGTCGCACTCGCCTGTGCTGCCGCCCTACGCTGGCCGGCGCATTTTGTCGTTTTCCAGGACAGCCGCTTTGTAGTTGGCGGGCTTGCGCTTACAATGCTGGGTGAGTGGACGGCAGGGTATGGTAGGAGGGGCGACGAAGGTTGCGAGAATGGCGAGCAGACTGAGAGAGTCACACGGCATAAAGAGCTTGATCAGCATTTGCTGCCCGCCTCATCCTCCCTCTCTGTTCCCCTTAACCCTTAACCGTGAATGATCTCCCCTTGCCGTTGCTGCTTCTCTCCTCCCCTGCGATGCATGTCATGCCGTACACCACGCATCCCTGGGCCATGCGGCATGTGGCAGGCATGGGGTTGACGATCAGTGTGGATGACTTCAAGCGCGCCGTGCTGATGCCACGGCAGCTGCTCGCGGGCGTGCTGCTGCAGTACACGGTGAGCCGCCTCCCCCCGCACTGCACGCATGCTGCTGCCTCCATGCCATGCTCTACCCTTTCAAATCTCCTCCTCCTGCCACTGCCCACACCTTGGTCCACCAGCCGAGGCCACCACTGGCCTTGGTCCTGCTACAGCAGCAGCTGGCCTTGGTTCAAATCTCCGCCTCGCCCATGGCGTCATCCACCCATCCCCCTGCCGTCCGCGTGCCTGCTCGTGTGCGTGGGCCAGGTGATGCCATGTCTGGGGGCGCTCATCGCTCGCTGTCTGCCGCCGCACCTCTCTGCCTTCGCCACCGGCATTGTGCTCGTAGCCTGCTGCCCTGGTGGTCAGTCATCCCGCCGCCCCTGCCACACATGCCCACCCCATCACTCATGCATGCATCGGCTGCTGAGCCCCTTCACAAATTTTGCATCCCTGCCCTCCCTGCCCCCTCACCTCCTTGCAATCACAGCTCGTTTTCACAGCTGACTCATGCAATGTATTATCTCCTGCATTCCACAGAGATTCTCTCAGTTTTTTTATGAATAATCAAGTGCATCAATCTGTGTTTATACATGGATATCCGTGTGTGAGTCGTGCGCGCACGCGCATATCTGACGGTGTGTCTGTGCCTGTACGCATGAGTGAATCTGTGTACGTGTGTGTGCTCGTGCCCATGCCCCACTGTGTGCACTCTTGCCCTGCACCAGGCACTGCCAGCAACATCGTCACCTTCCTTGCACGGTCAGTCATGTGCCCCTGCGGAATGCTGCCACCACATCGCTGCTTCACTGCCTGCGTGGCAACAAGCCTCATCCCCATGCCAACTCTCGATGGTCATGGATGTCTTCTTTCCACCATATCCTCCCACTGCCTCCCTCCTGCGCCTGTTGCTCCCCTGCCAGCCCGTTCATGATGGACAAGGGCTATTCGCTTACTCTTCCCACATCCCTCTTCCCTGCTCCATTCCCGTCGTCCCTCGCCGTGGCAACAGGGGCAACGTGGCTCTCTCTGTTCTCATGACCACTTTCAGCACTCTGCTAGCCGTGGTATGCAAGTGACTCCAGTGGCTTTGCCGACTGAAGCATGGCTGTTTCTTGCATTACTTGTTCGCTTTGTGTTTCCTAGTAGCCAGCGTGCTCCTTGCTTCGCCTCCCATCACTCTGCCTCCTCTGACCCCCCAATTCCCCCCAGGTGATGACGCCTCTCCTGACCTCTCTGCTAGCTGGTCGTTTCGTGCCCGTCAATGGGGCAGCTCTCTTCATGTCCACCCTGCAGGTACTCTCCACTGCACGCCACTCCATTCCGCCCTTTACATGATATAGATTAGCCCCATTTTTTTCACCTGAATGTTCGCTGTAAATGCATTAGCATATGGTTCTGTTAGAAGAATATAAACCAGTTTGAATGGAGAACAACAAAAAAAACAAGGGTCAATCAGGCACAAGATGGAACCAGTGGAGTTAAGGCCGCTGCCAACTCTAGGATGGGCGAATGAATGGGGATAAAGTTAAGGCCGCTGCCCTTCTTCCTCTGTTATCTCCCTCTGTATCTCCTTCCCGTCTCCCGCGTCCCCTCCCTCCCCAGGTGGTGATGCTGCCTGTGTTCACGGGCTGCCTGCTTGCGCGTCTCTTCCCCGCGCTGGCGCGCCACCTGGCGCTCTTCTCACCCGTGCTGGCGGTGCTGACGGTGGCGCTCATCGTGGCGGGCGCCATCTCGGGCTCCGCCGCCACCATCCGAGGCGCCGCACTGCCGCTGCTGCTCTCCGTGCTCGCACTGCACGCGCTCGGCTTCGCCCTCGGCTACCTGCTGCCGCGCACTGCACTGCGCCTGGATGAGTCCGCCAGCCGCACCATATCCATAGAAGTGGGCATGCAGGTGCGTGCGCCACTCTGCATGCTCACCGCTGCCGCTGCTCCGTGGCTATGTTCCAGTTGGCTATGTGCGCAGTGTGTTTTTCCACATTGCAACTCATGCCTGTATTGTAATGGACGGGCTGCTCACGGTTGACGGCGGTCCATGGCTATGTTCCAGTTGAAGTGAGATGTTCACGGTCCTTTTTGGCATGTTGCATTTAAGCCCGGTCAATCCCTGTATTGTTATGCTCCTGCATTGCTCTTCCTCCCCCCCTTTCCCCCTCTCCCCCGTGTGCACGATGGGCGGCAGAACTCAGTGCTGGGGGTGGTGCTGGCCATGCAGCACTTCCCTGACCCGCGGGTGGCAGCGCCCTGTGCCGTCTCCTCCGTCATGCACTCCCTCTGTGGCAGCCTCCTCGCCGCTGCCTGGCGCACCACACCCGTGCTGCCCACCAAGGAGGGTGGCGGGCTGGCACAAGCAGCCACTTGAGCATACTGTAATGGCCAGTGCAGTATAAAGGAAGACAGATGGTGCATGCATGGAATGGAAATACCAGGAAAGGTGTAGGAAAACTTCAGGTACCGTATATTGAAATACCTTGCTTGCTAGTTTTTCCAGGAACATACGAACAGCGCCCACATGACAGATATTTGTACTAAACTGAATACCTAGTTCATACCAGGTTTATGGTTTGGAGTCTGAGCTAGCACCCACTTCAAGTTTCCTCAAGGCAATGGTAGTTTAGTACCAGTATGTACAATTACAGCCCTAATACACAGGAGACATCTTCCAAGTTTTGCTGCCGCCTCAAGTCAGGAGCTATAGAAAGCGCTACTGGTCGACTTTTGATTACCTGTCACCACATGTGCCCATGGCCGTGCCCGTGGCCAATAGTCTAAGTCACGGACAGCTTTACTAGGGCATGTGGCTTGGGAGCAGCACGTATCATCTGTTAGACGCCAGCAGCACCTCGTATAGGTGAGCAGAGCGTGTGTGGATATTCGTATGCCAGAGATCAAGTCAGAGGAAGAGGGGGCGCATGATGCGGTGCAGGGCAGCAGAGGGCACGTGGCATGTCATTGCAAGTGGACGGGGCTTCATAGGCGCGCCGGGGCAGATAGGGGGTGCTTCGGGGCGAGGTGAGGCAGGAGGTGTGGTGACATCTGCGGTAGGGACACACATACAGGAGACAAGAAAGAAAATATTAGAACAAACGAACGCTTGGCAACTAACGTTCAAAGTGGTTCTGACATGCACAGGGAATCGCGTGGGTGGTACCTGCTTCCCAGAGGCTGCTCAGCGCGGCCTCAACCCGCCCTGGTGTGGGAACTTGCCCGCACTCGCCGTCCGCCACGGACGAGCACCGAGACGATGGGCCGTCGCGCTCGCCGTCGTATAGCTTAGTGGAGGCGTCGTGGGCTGTGACGTCCGCGCACGAGAGGCCCAGGTGCAAAGGCGACGGCAGCGGGCGTAGAAGCGTGCGGTGGCGTGAGTACTCCTCGCGGAACAGAGGCGTCGCCACCTCCGCGTCATCGCCGGCGACGGAGGCGGAACACTCGTTTCCATCACGCCGAGGCGCCTCGTCCAACTCGAGGAACAGCCGCCGCTTGCACGTGCGCTTCGCGGACGATGGCGACGGCGAGGAAGGCAACGGGGAGCGAACGCAGCGTTTGAGGAAGTGACGCGGACGGCGGTACGAGTCAGCGCACGACGAAGGGACGGGATTCGGCGAGAGGTGAGTGGCGGGAGAGTCCACAGAGGATGCGGAACCACGTGTTTCTACGGCGGGCGACATGGCCTGGCGGAGGACACAGCGAGGGATGGCAAGAGGGAAAAGGCAACGCGAGAAATTGAAACAAGCGAACGACAGAAGCTTAAACCGGCGCGGCGATTCGACCAGAATTAAGAGAAAAGGAACAGGGGTGAGGTAGTACCTGAGAGGAATTCATGACGGCGGTGCGATGCTCAACGGTGGATCCAATCGCAGCAATGAGCGATGAGGCTGGAAGAGCTTGGGAGAGCTGGCAGCACGACTCTGATTCACGTTCTGGAGTGCGCGGATGCACGAGGATAAGGAAACAGTGGCGAGTGAAACCTTGATGATCAGGTGGTAAACTCCTTGAAACAGCAAGGCGTCCTAAAAGGTGCGATGACAAGCGCGCGCACGAACCGATAAAAGGCACATCGAGACTCCACCTCCGTTGAAGCTGCACGGGATGAGGGGTAAGCGAGCATGCAGAGGAAGCGCAGAGGCGATGACTGGCAGCGAGAGCGGTGGTGGCGAGGAGCTTGAGAACGAACCTGGCGAGGAGCAATCGATGGCAGAGTGGATGTCGCTGCTGGGAGGAGGATGCGCGCTGGCATACGATGTTGGGCGGCTGACGTTCATTACGCACGGGGAGTCGAGACACGCATGCATGGCGTGGCGAGACTGTCGGTCGCAATTGGGTAAGAGACGGCTTTGTGGTCCCAGAGAAGCCTGGCTGAGTCACTGAGTGATAAGGGTCTGGCGCGCCTTGGAAAGCTGAAATTGGGTTGCGATGAAACCAAGAGAACCTGCTCACCCCTTTTGAGATGGCTGGTGTTGTCGAGGTTGTGTTGGGAGGTGCGTGAGGCAGTTGATGGCAGTTGTGGTGGTGGCCTTGGTTATGTCGAGTCAAGGAAGAGAGGTTTCACGGCCTGGGAATGTCGGCAGTACAGTGTGGTGGTTTTCGGCTTGGTTCCCCGCTAAAACATGCTTCCCCTTTTTCGCTTGGTTCCCCGGTTGGTAGAGGTTGAGGGGTCTGAAGGCGGGCACATTTTGGAGGGAAAGCAACGTCACGCGGACGACAACAAGGCGAATTGTGGCGGGAAGTTCCAGAGCCCTCCAAAGCGGTTCGTGACAGAATATTGTTCAGGGCGTGTCCCACGAGTTCTTTTTCGTTCAAATTATGCGGTGGAGAAAGGTTCTGTACCTTCTAGAGCGGTTTTTCTGCTCAACCGCTTTGAACCGTGACCCACCAGTCTGAACAGTGATTCATGGGCTGTAAACGAACTCGTGGGACACGCCCTCAGGGAATGGTGAAACCAACCTCGCGAAGTATCCCCAAGCGTCATGCTGACGAGCATATCCACGTCTACCGTACAGAGTTGGTCTCGTGTGGAGGAACTGACGGAAGCTGCACGAAATATGCGAAGCTGATGGTAACCACTCACGCGTGGAATTTTCAGACTGAACCACAACCTGACTCCCACGTCGGCTTTCGAATGATATACACCTGGGCTCCGGTAATTTCAGAATGTGGGCACCGAGCCGCGTCCTTGTCGTTTTGCCCTGGGGTTGAAATTGGGGGGAACAAAAAAGTTCCCTCTAATTTCAACACTCTCACGAAAGATTTCGGGGTTTCGGACTCTTCTGAACTGAGCGAGAGCGGTTGTATTCGGTTTAGGGTATCGGAGGGTTGTTGGGAGGACCGAACCGCTCTCAACCAGGAGCCACAGATGACGACAGGGGCCTTGCAATTAGGGGGAATGAAATTATTGGAGCCCAGGTGTATCTCAGCGGACAAGCGAGTCCGCCCGGGGGAGCTCGCTGCCCGCGGGCAAAAAAAACTAAACCCCATTCGGGCATGCATCCGGTCAGGGAGCCTCAACCCTAAACACGGGGAGGCATGGATTTTAGGGTTGAGGCTCCCTCGGATGGCATGCCATCCGATGGGGTTTTAGTTTTTTTCTGCCCGGGGCAGCATGTCGTCAAGTCGTCAGAGGGTCGTCAGACTTGACGACCCCTTTTGGCTGAGATTTTCCGGTGTACGTGGCTCAAGCCCCCTTCCGTGTATGGCAGACCTGTCAGGTATGGGCAATGTTGAGTTGTAATGTAGAAGAGTGCATAGGATTCAATAACATAATAGTGAGTACAATGAGTGCGAATGGCGAAGCCTAGCACTAATATTGCAAAGCTAGCTAGGCCGAAGTCGCGGAGTCCCGAGATGGTTGGGTGCAGGTTCGCGGTTTGAAAACCCAAAGGTTACGCGATGATGGTTCGGTTTTTTGTTTTATTGATAGGCCGTAACCCACTAAAACAGTGCACGGAACAAGGACAGAACTAAGTCCAAGGTCGAGACGACCTGCGGTATCACTGTTACAATCCAAATGACTTAGCCAGGGTTCGACTCAGGGTTGTTCGCAGGTACTGTTGCAGCGAAAGTATTGTCCACTGTCAGGAATGTGATATTTGTCTAGCCTGGAGTGGGGTACTCTATATGTACTCAACTGCCTGCTAGTGCAAACCCTCTCTTTTCTGTTATAAACTTCTGCCTGATGTTTTTACATGGTATCAGAGCAGGTCGACCCTCCCGGGTCGATCCTGTGGATGGGCCCACCGTTAGCTTCCGCTGCTATCCGGCGCGCGACGTTTCTGCCTGCCGCACGCTCGGGGCGCGCGACGTTTTTTCTTCGTGCGCGCGGCGGTTTTCTGCCCTTCCTGCACGTCGCGTCGCCCCCGTCGACCCTCGCGCTGCCCCCTTGGACCCGCGCGCGCTGCACCATGGACCCACGCGCTGCCCCGTCGACCAGCGCGCTGCGCCGTGGGACCCGCGCGCTGCCCCCGTCAACCCGTGCGTCGCCCCAGGGGACCCGCGCACGCGGCCCCGTCGACCCGCGCGCTGCCCCCGTCGACCAGCGCGTCGCCCCAGGGGACCCGCGCACCCTGCCCCATGGACCCGCGCACCCTGCCCCATGGACCCGCGCGCGCTGCCCTGTGGAGCTGCGCGCCGCCCCTTGCCCTCGTGCAGCTGCGGGGCGGCTTCTCCCACCCCCCCCCCCTTCCTCGTCGTCTCTCTGCTGCGCGTGCAGCCGTGGAGGAGGGTAAGGGGGTGGCGGGTGTGTGTCGTCCCGTGCTCCTCCTCCTCCTCTCTCTCCCACTGCTGCAGCTGCTGCTAAGGGGGGTGGGTGTGTGGGAGTCGAGGGAGTCGCGCTAGGGGGGTGACAGGGGATTGGAGCTAGGGGTGCAGCAGGGGGTGTGTGAAAGGGGGGTGGGACAGTTGGGGGAGGTTGAGCGGAGACAGTCGTCGTGACGTCAGCAGCGCCAGTAGTCCGGGGCCTTTGCCACTGGTAGCCCAGCGAGCGTGCTGCGCCAGTCGCTCGTGGGTCCGTTGCTCCCGCTGTTCGTCTTAGCGCGGAGCCAGTTACTCCTGTAGTCCGGGGCCCTTGCCACCGGTAGCCACCGTGCGCGCCGCTCCTGTTGCCCGTGTGTCTGCGGCTTCACCCGTCGCCTCCTATCTCCACTCCTCTCACAGTCCCTCCTCCTCCTCACTTGCCCTCTATGACTGCCTCTAGTTTTGCTTGTACTTGTGAACCTGCTCTATAACTGCATGCTGTGCTGATTATACCCCACTTTGACTATGGGGGTGTGTCAGAATGTGATATTTGTCTAGCCTGCAGTGGGGTACTCTATAGCGAGTATAGCCCAAATTAGGGTTTACTATATGTACTCAACTGCCTGCTAGTGCAAACCCTCTCTATTTTGTTCTAAACTTTTGCCTGCTGTTTTGACATCCACATGTCAAAGTGAATGTAAAATGACTGAGATAATAAAAACGTGCATACATCGAGTTTATATAGGAAATACAGAGAACGCGAAAAGACCTAGACTAGCCATGTACTTTAAGGGGTACAGTCCCTTATTACCGCGAGATTCAAACCGTTCGGTGCGGGAACCAGTTTCAAACCTGTTCTTGCTCTTCAAATGCTTATGCCTGCATCGGTCCAGATCTGATGGTTGCTAGTGTCACTTCGACTCTTCTAACTCATCAACTTCGTACCCGGTAGAGTCGGTTCTTGAAGCGTACAGGAATACTTTCATAAAGTTTCATATCTCAACACTTCCCTTCATTCCTATGCGTGTTGGGGGCTGACTCGTTTGACTACTCCGGTGAGATTGGAGCGGTGCTGGTACTACTGGCGTGACAGTCGCTTGGTGAGGAAGTCGGTTGCCATTCGGTAGTGAGGCAGTACGAGAGGTCAACCTTGCCTTGGTCAATTTCGTCCTTGACGAAAAAAGTACCGAAGCGTGATGTGCTTCGTACAGTTGACAAATCCCGGTTTGATCGCGATCCTGATTGCGCTCAGGTTGTCGCAGTGAAGGCAAAAGGTGGGCAAAGTTGGAATTTTCGCCTCATGCAGCAGCTCTTGCAGGTAAAGTCCTTCACGAACAACATCTGTTGCGGCGATGTATTCTGCTTCAGCCGACGACAGGGCAACCAGCTCATGCTTCTACGATTCCAGGAGATCGGGCTCGTTGGTTCCAGGCAGAAGACAAAACCGGTTCGTGGACGTCGATTGGCGGGGTCAGCGGCGTGATATACATCCACGTAGCCGATGAGGTTGAAGGATGTTGTTGTCAGCGTGGAGTAGGAGAGCCCGATGTCAGGCGTGGAAACGAAGTACAAAGGGCGCGCTCCAGGTCCAGCTGGTTTTCTGTCACTGGCTTGCGAGAGTACTGTGCGAGTTGGCTGGCAATGTATGAAAGGTCGGGTCGGCAGGTGACAGAGGCGAATTGCAGGCACCCCAGTTGTTGCGGGTATTCGAGTCCTGCGGGCGACAGAGGTTTGTTGTTCGATTTGTAGTTGGCGCTGGGGGTGCGATGAGGAGTAGAGAGCGGTGCATGAGAAATTTTGAAGCGTTTTCCAGCTACTCAGCGTACTTGGAGGCTGACATATGAATTGCCTCTGGCGCGTAGGTGATGTTCAGCCCCGAGAACCGTGCGACTTAGTGGTTGACGGTGATGTCAACGCGCTGCGCCACGTTCTGCTCAAAATGGTTTGAGAGCTCGTTGCTTGTGCCAGTGTACAACGGGTCGTCAACGTAGACCGTTAGGAGGACGTAATCTTTGTTAAAGTGAAGGCGGTAGATTCTCGGGTCGCGCGGTAGCTGTCTGAAGCCGATTTCAAGGAGTATTTTGTGGAGGTGCTGCTGCAAGTGCCGTGGCACCTGCTTGATTCCATGAAGGATTTTTTTCAGCTCACAGACCCTCGGGTCTCCTTCCCCGTAGGTGTGCGGTTGTTCCATAAAGATGGTCGCATCGACCAGCGCGTATAAGAACACAATTTAAAGTAACGTCGATATGCCGCAGTAGTAGGTGCTGCGCGTCATCGATAGCGAGTAGGATCTACGCAAAGGTGTGGTGACTGACGAGGGTAAAGGTCTGGTCGAACTCAATTCCGTGGCGTTGGTCGTACCCACGTACGACCCACCTGACTATGAAGCGCTTGATGGTTCCGTCAGCAGCGGTCTTAAGACGGAAGACCCATTTTCCGCTCAGCACCCTCCTCCCCTTCACTGATGCACGGTCGACTAGAACCCAGGTGTCGCGTGACTCCAGTGCTTTCACCTCCGCGTCCATGGCTGCAC